CCTGGGAAATTACAGTCCCAGCCAGGAATTAGTCCTCCTATCTGCTGACCAAGCCATAAAGAAAATGGAATCTGTGGGTCTGTTTTTAACTCTGCATTGATTAGAGCATCCTGGTGACCAGCACTTTATTTCTCACCCCTGTTTCTGCTGTGATTTTCATGTTTGCAAAGTGAGTATGTGAACTTTTTGAAGATGGAACAGTTTTCAGTGCATCTGGTGAGTATACCATCAGAGGGTTTTTTTTTATGAAGACCTTTGATAATAGCACCAAATTTCTTGCCAGTGTGGGAAAATTTTGATATTCCTATTCAGTGTAGCTTTATGATGAAAAAAGGTGAATAAAACAGTTTAGCCTTCCCCACAGGCCCTTTATGGGTGTGAACTGAGTCAACATGTGACATGGGGGAGGCACATGTTACTGCCTTCATATCTTTTGTTTTAAGATCTCCCCATTTCTTTCCTGGACCTTGGCTTCCTTCAAGGTTCCCCTCTGTTGCAGAATTAATTTTAGCTAACTGTATTTCTCAAGAATTCACTTCTGCCTCTGATATGAGAGCTGAGAAAGGCTTGGGGACACTGGTATTATTCAGCCCCAGGGTTCATATATTTTGTAGGGTCCTCTTCCAAATTTGAGCACTTTTTGGGATTCAAAGGGACAAACCTCTAATGGCTAATTTTAGCTCAGTGGTAGACAGTGGATAGGGGCAAAGTCCTCTTCAAATAACAAAATCACACCATGTAGGTGACTTCTTATACCACAGTTGGACCTCCTTGCCCTCATCCCTTGAAAGCTGTCTGCATGTCTACGCCTGTTGCTGGAAGTGGGGTTTGTCTTTAGGTAGAACTTCAGTTCCAGATTCAGGTGATTCAGAATCACTTTGCTACTACTACTAGCAAAGCCCTGAGTCTTATGATCCAGGCTGAGACCAAGCCTTGATTTGGCTTTCTAGTTTTGTTCCCCAGTCTGAACTCTTGTGTTCATAACTTGCCTAATACCCAGCTCCCTCTAAGACTCCCTCTGTCCCATTTTCCCAGGATTTAGAGCCCTGGGACCTGATGATCACCTTTCAACATCCTATCTATATCCCTCCCTCCCCCTGCCTCCCCCCACAATGCATCCCTATAGTCATGTTTACCAGACAGGGCACACTGTCCTCTTGTTCCTTGTGTGCTGAAACTTCCTGAAGTCTGCTGCTTTTCCCAGGGATCATGCTATTCCCTTAAGTACCGTGTATCTTTCCCACATCTGCCAACCATTTGTTTATTGAATGCTTTTTGGTGTGCAAGACTCAATACTAATGGCAGTTTGTAAGCGTTCTCATCTCAGCAGCCTAGACAGGTTGGCTCTATTATTATACCTGTCTGAAAGATGAGGAAGCTGAGGTTCAGAGAGGCTAAGTAACTTCTCAGATATCCTATAAATAGCAGGCAGCAGGGCTAGGGTTATAATTCAGGTCTGTTTCACTCCAACCTGAGCTCTTTAACACTGGGCTCCCCTCCCTGCAGGGTGGTTGCCATTCCCCACCTGCAACTGAAGCTCTCCCAAGTGCCTCCTCTACCCAAAAGGCATATGGAGACCTCTTTTGTCCTGCTCTGTCCAGTGGGGTTAGTTCTGCTGTACCTGACTGGACCATGGGACATATATGGTGCAAATGATCATAGTCATGTGAGTCTCCACACACAGTTCAAGGTTCCCTCCATGAGCACTTGTTTGGCACATAATAGAACTCAATAAATATTTAAATGGATTAACAGATGAACTAAGTGGTAGCATGGAAATTCCTTACTTCACTGCCTTGCTATTCAAGGGATCTATATCCTGCCCCTCTATTATCATGCTCACCTTAATACTGGACCACAGGGAAAATCTCCCAATGCTAATGTTCAGTATCTTCCTGGATCTAAAGGGAAAGCCATCTTTAATTTGGATTCTTCTTTATAAATAACCATGTACTCAGCTCATTTCAGAGAGACTCTTCTTATATCTTGCAGTGTGGTACATGGGGAGATATGTACTCTCCATTCTAGAACATGCCAAAGATCACCTTTCTATAGCAGGTGTGGTCTAATAGGTGAGCCTTTGCTTTAGTGTTTGTAGCAAAGATATTTCCACTTATCAGGGGCATGAATCATGTGAGAGTCACACAAAATAAATCTTCCATTATGTTGAGGGCTAAAGGGCAAGAGAAGCACCTAATGAATTCTACTGTGTATGCGTTCAATTTTATGTGTATATGTGTGCCCCTTCATGTACGGGTATGTATCTACACGTTGAATGTGTGTATGTGCATTATGTATGTGTAATATGTGGGTGATTGTGTGTGAGTAGTGTGTATATGTGTACACATGTACAGTATGTGTGTGGGGGCACATCTTTGTGCTTGTATGTATGTGGGAATATGTATGTGTGTTTGCCCTTGTGATTATGCATATGTTTGTGATGTTGTATGTGTATGTATGTGTGGGAACGGACAACCAGACTGACTGAGATGCAAAGGTTGGGCTCCTTCTCTGGGAGTTTGGGTGGGTCGGGGTGAACTTGGACTTATAGGAGGAGTGCAGGCCTGTGATGAGTTTACATTGGCTAGAGCTCATTAGCCAACGGAAATGATCTTGGGTGAGCTCCATGTGTAGTCAGATAGGAAATAAAGCTGTAATTTAGATGCTGTGGCCATATGCTTCTAACATGACTTATATTTATAACTAAGCTGACTTATAGGATCACAGTTATCATGTAATTTGGGGATTTAAGATCTAGTAGTCTCATGAAAAAAGACTTGAATCAGAATCAGAAGATTAAAAATTTTTTTTTTTTTTGCTATTTACTAGCCATGTGATTTTGGGTCAGTCTATTTTCTCATCCACGTGATAGGGTTAAAAATACAATCCTAGCCTCTTCCACAGGCCAGGGAACAAAATTTAAGGGTTGGTATGACACTCAAAGTAAAGAAAATGAGACAGTATGTGTGAGAAAACTCTAGCAGCTGCAAAGCTCTCTACAAAGATAAATTGTTCTATGACTAGCCTTGGGCTCATTAGTGTTTTTAAGAGACAACAATTGTTAGCCAGGGCAATGAGACCATAGTTCTGCATGAAGTGGCCTGGGCGGGTTCCGCTAGGCCACCAAACAACAGAAAGAGATGAGCAGACCAGTTGTTGTGGGTGCGTGTTGAGGGAGGGGGTTCACACTGGCCAGCGACTAAAAGCTTTGTCTATCTCAAAAGACAGACTCTTCATTCATGAGGAACTCATGGGCTTGACAAGATAGATACCCGCTTCTGATGTTTTTTAAAACGCACAGTGAAACAGATCCGGTTTATAATCCTATTCAATCCCAGAATGAAATGAGTCAAGGAGTCCAAAGCAGTCAGCCTGAGCATTCTGAGAAGACACGACTCTGTAAGCAGAATTTTGATTGAGGGAGGTTTAATGGCCGGTAAAGTGGTAGGCTTAGGGACTAGGGGAGAAGCCAAGCTATGTCGCCCTTTTCAGCTAGGGTAGGAGGTCCTTCTGGCTACTTGGTGGGCTCTGCTTGAGGAAAATATATACTTATGGTGGGCAGGGACAAGAGAGGATGAAGCTCTCCATGGGCTAGTTACATGAACATTGACAGGAGAATCACATTGAATGCCTGAGAATGATTAATAGCGACCCTCTTTTAGAGAGCTTTCTTGAAAGCACCATTGCACCAGTCATTGAGAAAAGTAGAAGACATTTCCATCATTTACCATCTCTCTGGAGAGGTAAAGACATTTTACCATCTCTCTGGAGAGTAGAGACATTTACCATCTCTCTGGAGAGGTAAGGCAACCTAGCCAAGATAACTGTTCCTCTGTTCTTTCATGATCAGTATTCTTAAGAAGATACGTCTGATGAAGTTCTTTCCTTTTGATTTATTCTAGCTCAGCTTGAGGGCCAGGTGCCCAGGGCGCCAAATGTGAGAAAGCCACCCGCTCTTACTGTCTCCCTGAATCTTGCATCCCAGGAGGCTCGCTTGCCTTACCATAGTCCAGGCCCTGCCTGGAAGACATGTTAAGACACGTCCATTGGAAGGAGGGCCAGAAGGGCACATTTTCACTTGCTGCCACCATTCAATGCCCTCTCCCCCAGATCCCCTTAAAGCTTATCATTTTTGGCTAGGAATCTTTCTGGGCCTTTGCCAACCTGGGCAAGATATCATGGTGGAAGTTTCAGAAGGTGCCGGTGCATGAAAATATCTTCAAGAACAGACACTCAGGGAAGGGAGAGAAGACATGGTTTGGACAGGCTTTGAGCCCAAAGTCCAATTTTGCCAGATTACATCAGTGGCTCTGGGCTTTCTATGAGGAATGATTCACATTTCCTTGAGGTCCTGAGTGAAGGAGATACTAATAAAGTGGGATAATGGGAGGATAAAGGATGGGACAGTAAAGTCACTGAAAAGAAGAGGGGTTTGAGACACTGGAGTGCCCCAGGGACCACGGCAGAGGGGTGGGGACAGTGGAGAGCCTGGCAGCACTGGCTTGGAAATCTACCGGGTAAGACTTGAGTATCTGCCAGTGAGATTGAAACCTCCTGCTGGACATAGTGGGTGCTGGTGAGCTGTTCACAGATGCATGCTCACCCTTACTGGGGGGCACTCTCACTGTCTAGGGAGCTCCTGTGGCCCTCCCCCTATCTCTATGGAACTTTTTCTTCTGTACATCATACTGTTGGATCCTCTATGGCCTACTCATGACTGAATTTACTTTTGGATCCTGGAAAAATTCAGTCACTGAATCCAACAGATTGAAATAGTCCACCCATGGACTACGGTGACCCTGAATTTCTTACTTTGCAGTTACAGACTCATTGCCTCCTGAGTCAACCCAAGGATGGATCCTGCAGAGCAATAAGAACGCTTTCAATCAGCTTACCCCAGAGTTTTTTCCCATCCTGACCATCTTTTGACTTTACCTTTTCTGGAATTAATTCCTCCTCCTCCGTCACATCCTTGTCCCCACACCCAGTCAAACCCTCACCTGGATGGTTCAGATGGGACACTATTAAGTAGATGGTGAAGTCCAGGAAGGAGCAGTTGCACTTCCACGGGTTTTCACTCAGATACAGGGTCTGTAGAGTTAGGAGGTTTTGGAAGGCAGCATTGTCCAAGGTCTGCAAGCCGGTGTTTCTGAGGTCCAGGTATCTCAGAGAGCTGGTGTTGGCAAAGGTGTACTTGTTCAGGGAGAACAGGTGAGGGTTGTTGGAGATGTTCAGCTGCACCAGGTTGCTGAGCATGGAGAAACTGTATGGGGAGATCAAGGTTAGGTTGTTGGAGCTGAGATCGAGGTAGATGAGTCTGAAGACCCCGATGAAGGTATAATCCATCACCTCGCGAATCAGGTTATTCCGACAGTCCAAGTAAACAAGGTCACTGAGGAGTCCTAGATTCATCGCTGGCAAAAAGGTGATGCGGTTATCATTCAGGTACAGCCTCCGGGTGTTCAGGGGTACATCAGGGGGGTATTCGGCTAACTGGATCCCTGTGCAGATCACTTCCTGGGCTTGACACTGACAATTATTTGGACACTTTGACCCCGATACCAGTCCCATTCCAAAGGAAAAGAGTAACCACCCGGGCCCAGGGCCTGAAGCAAGGGACATAGTAAGAAGCCGCAACTACCCTCCTTCCACCTTCCTGCGGGCGCTGTCCCTCTGTTCAGAAGGCTGCCGAGGGGCGGGGTGGGGGGGAGGGGCGCTGGAAAGAACTGTAACACCCTAGCTTTGTGCAAAGCAATTTTCCATTACAGGAGAACTGAACAGAAGTTGAAACGCGAGGCCCAATGCCCCGCCGCCCGGCTTGGTGGCTCTGCCGACTGCTCACTCCCAGACTGCTGCTGGAAGCTTGCCCGCTTGGCTGCTCTGAAAGGTCTCACCCTTTCCCTGCGTTTGCGAGTGAAGGGGAGCCAGGGGAGAGCCACATGACAATGAGGTTGCCAGTTGACACCTTTGTGATGTCAGCAGCCTCAGGAGACTGCCTGGCTGAGAGAGGGAGAGTCCTGCCTCTCTCTCCTTCTGGGTTGGTGTGGTGTGGGGGTGTGTGTTTCTCCGTAAGTGGGGTGTCCCTGGGGGAATCAGGGCCTACAGTGTGGGGGTGGGGGGCTGTGCACCGGTTCCCGGTGTGTGTGTGTGTGTGTGTGTATACCAGCTCCCCGAGGAGGTGTAGTGGAGAATTAGATGAGCTTGGATCCCCTAATCCACAGTCTATAGGGGGACCTTGGAAGTCTCTAGCCCAACTCCCCTTCTTTACTGATGAGCCAAGTGCCTTGCCTAAGTTCAGTTCTCAGAGTGGGTCTTTTCCCCGGGAAGTGAATTCGAGTGGGTGCCAGTTTTTGGTGGCGTTGGGAGAGGATGGGAGAGGGGGACCTCTTTTGAAAGTAGGAAAGGGAATTCCTCTAATAAGGTAGTGCTCTTCAGATTGCGTTCCTAGTGTGCGTACAGCCCTGTCTGAATTTGGAATATATATGCGTGCTAGTGTTTTTAAAAAAACCTTTAGAGCAGGTGTAAGGTACTCCCCTTAACACAAAACCTGAATGTATTAACTATCTGAATGCAATGATATGAACTGTTTCTTACCATTACTATTCTCCTTGACTTTTAAAATAGTGGGTGCCTCTCTAGAGCTTCTAGTGGGAGTTTATATTCATTAACTGTTTGAGGGATGATGAGAGGCGGGGAGTTTTTTGGAGGGAAGGAGAGAGAGCCTGGAAGCTTGGGAGTTAGGATGTATCATCTACTCCATGGAGGAAGGCACCCTGGGCAGAAATGAAGAAAAACACCTCAGGAATTAGGATTTACACTTGGGGGAAAATAGGATTTCATATATAACCTAGCTGTGAATGTTAATAAAAGAACGCAACCTATATTTAGCTCAGCACGGTGCCTGGCACCTGGTATGTAATAAATATTTATTGAATGAGTGATGCGTGAATGTCTCTGATGGTTTGTTCCCTTTCTTGCTTCTTTGCCAAGAGAGAAATTAATAAACTCAAGTGGATTTGTGGCTGGTTAGCTAATGCTTGATTATGTTTACTTACTCAGCATTCCTAGGGTGACTGGCCGTGAATTAAGATGATGACTTAGGGGTGTTTACCAAATTGAAAGTGACCTTAGTTAAGTAGAAATTTCAAACACTTAAAATAATGACCCAAAGGATAGTTGTACTAATTGAAATAGGACTTTATTGATAGGGGAGCCACCCTTTCCTTATAATTTAAAAAAAAAAAAAAAAGGTCCTTGCTAGATCTTACATGATTGCCTGGAGAAGGGTTTGGCCCATGAAGGCTATGGGGAAGAATTAATTTCCAGAGTGATGCGGGACCCCTCCTCTCCACCTCCCCCATCCCCCCATCTGGTCCCCAGCAAGTAGAAGTGGAGGGTGTGGCCTGGAGGGGAGAGGGCAGGGGATGTGGTGGGGACATTCCCAGTGGGCTGGGCTTGCTCTCTGTTTCCTTCTGGTGAGATCTGATCGCTCACTGGTTTGCCAAAGCTTATGGGGTGATTTTTTCCTGACTTTCCACCTTTTCTTTTATAGTTCTCTCTCGCTCTTTCTGACTCTTCCAGGGGAGCCCATGTTTCCCTGTTTACCCATTTAGTTTCTAGCTTCCTGGCGGGGAGGAATTTTCCCAAGACTGCAGCCTCTGGATCAAGCTTAGCTGCTTGGCCTTAGGATGGCAAGTGCTCTCACTTAGAAAAGCCTCAGACACATGAAAAATGCCAAAGTTATTGGTGACGCTAGTCAGCTCTGTCTCTTTCTTGGAGCATTGGCATTCTTAGCAAAGCATCTGAATGGTTAACGTCGAGGAACAGTCCTTTGGCCTGAGGTAGCTGTGTGTTTTGTGGTCCTGAGGCCTGCAGACCCCACAGGCTGGCTTTAGCTTTGTCAGGGTAGACCAGATCTCTAAAATGCATTCCTCATTTTGAGACCTGAGTATGTTATTTGCTGAATAGAAAATGACGGGACTAGACAAAGGAGAAGAGAGAACGTAGCCTTTCCCGACTACTTGATCTCAGAGCCTTTATTTTTATTTTTTTAAAGATTTTATTTATTTATTCATGAGAGACACACAGAGAGAGGCAGAGACACAGGCAGAGGGAGAAGTAGGCTTGCAGGGAGCCCGACGTGGGACTCGATCCTGGATCTCCAGGATCAGGCCCTGGGCCGAAGGCGGCTCTAAACCACTGAGCCACCCGGGCTGCCCATGATCTCAGAGCCTTTAAAGGAATTTATCTTCAAGGAACATCTACAGGACTCTTATTTCAGGGATCCTGCTTTGGGCAGTTCTGGAGGAGGCTGTTTGCCCTTGGCGGAGTTGCTTAACATCTCTGGATTTTAGTTTTCTCATCTATATATTAAGGGAGGTGAACTAGAGAATTTCCAGCTCTCCTCCAGGCTTCCAAACTCCTACAGAGATGGGAAGGTTCCAGGGACCACTGCGAGCCACTAGGGGCGGGTGGAAAGGAGCGCCTTCCTATTCCGTCTGACTACACTGTGTGGCCCCACTTGGTCAGGTGGCTGCAGAAACAGAATTGCTCTCCCCGGTGAGCCACTGGTGCAGCTTCAGCAGCAGCTGAACAGCTTAGTGTTTACAGCTGCTTCATAGGCCCACCTCTGCCCCCGAGGTGGCCGGAGTGACTGTCCTCCCATAGCACAGGTGCGGATCAAGCGTGCACGCTGCAGACCCTGGTGCCAGTACCAAGCCACTGGCTGGGGCTGGTCCTGGGCCCGTCCTGGGCCGGCTTCTATTTTTAGCTGTATCTGACGGAGTCACTGCCTTCCCCGCTTAACGATCCCTTGTCAGTGCCAGCATGCCTCCCCACGGCCTCTCGTGATCCGAAAGTCCCCGATGTTATAAGAGGAAAGGGCAGGGTGAGGTGGGGCGAAGTGGATGCGACCGAGGCACTCGGTTTCTGTCCCTCCCAGGGCCTGGATATCCTTTCTAGAAAACAAGGCAGGATGCTCCCTGAGGGCCACCCCACGGCCCACCCCAGATCTGTCAAGACCCATCTGTGCAGGGGGAGGATAGAGGCTAAAGCCTTAAGACCCAATCCTAGGGACAGAGATTCAAGCAACTACACAGTGCCTGGCACAGTGTGAGCAGTCCATACACGTAGCATAGATATTCCTCCCAGATGCATGCACACAGGCCGGGGGGAATAGAGTTCTGCTTGGGAGAGACCTAGAAGGAAATCCCTGTGCCATTATATTAAGTTAAAACTGCTCATGTGTTCAGCTCAGGACCCTAAGTGAGGTTAGCAACCTGGGAGCATGTGACTCAGAACCTCGATCTGCTTCCCGGGCCAGGAATTTAGTGGGTGCTGGTCTAAGGAATGTAAGAATTTCAAGGACTTTGATGTAGGAGCTGCTTTTGACACCCAGTTCACTCCAGACACTGTTTGTGTTGCTTTCAGCAGGGCGGTCTCAGTGGGTATGGGGTTTGGGGCAAGTCCCATGGGAAGCCGATATAAAGGAACAGGAAGGGTGGCCTGGAAGGGAAAAGAAGTCCTAAAATATGTCAGGAAGCCTGGGGCCTAAGGGCCAAATATATCTGTCTATTATCTATCATGTATTTATCATCATCATCATCATCTGTCATCTATCATCTATTTACCATCTATCATCTATTTATCTATCATCGATCTATTATCTATCATCTATTATCTATCATCTATTATCTGTCATCTATCATCTATTATCTATCATCTATTATTTATCATCTATCATCTATCTATCATCTATCCATGAGCCTCGAGCTGTTTGGTACCAGCTAGAATGAACAATTTTTGCCTTTTCCCTTCAGGCCACCCGAGTCCTGCTCAGGAGATGGACCCTTACACAGTGCAGGCCGGAGGAAATCACTCCAGTCCCCCTCTTTCTCAGGGATGCCCATGTTTTCAGGCTGCTTCCACATTATACATTTCGGTAGCATTCATTACCCCAAGGAATCCAAGGGAAGCCTTGAAATTGCATACCATTTTGGGGGGATTGGATCACATTCTCAGCTTCTAACAAACTTCTATATACTGTTGCCCATGGCTAGGCTCATGTGCAGTGGTCATTATGCCCGAAACTTGCATTGTGACTGCCCAAGACCATTGATTTGGGAGGAGAACACTGGGCTCTCTTTCAGCACGGAGGGACAGTGGTGGTGTCGTGTGAGCTTCAGAAGAAGACTTCTCACTGAGTGACTTTGGGCAAGCACTTACACTTCAGGGGGCATGTTTCCTTTTTGATAAAATAGTGATGCCAAGTAATTGCTTCTTCAGGGTTGTTATAAAGATTGAATGTGATTTAATACAGCACAATATCTACCATTTATATTCACCCTGCCAGACATGTGATCCTCCCAGCAACGCAGTGAGTCCTGTGGCATGACCCCATCTTATAAGTGAAGAAAAAGACGCTCTAAGAGGTGCCATTTATCCAAGGTTGTTACGGAGCTGATGGGTGGGTGATGAAGGCAGGATTTGGCAAAAGTTTCACTCCTGAGGGCACGTTCTTAGTTACTGAGCTGTACCACCACATATGCAAATGCTCCAAAATGCTCCTTATTGTTTTTTTACAGGTTCCAAGGAGTAAATTGTCCCCTCCTAGGTGCTAAAGG